ACCCAACCTGTTTTACATAAAATGTACTGAAGAATTAAAGGCTATTCAGGTTTTCAATGTTATAAAATTCTTTTGTCTTCTTTTTTCAGGCACATATTGTATTTTTTGTCTGCAGTCATGAGCCTGAATCAGAGGCCCACAAAACAAAACAAAACCAAAAACACATACTCTGTAAGGAGGTAACAGGGATCCATCTCCTTTTAGTCAACTGAGTGCATTTAAGATTTAATTTACACACTAAAACTAATTACATGATCTCAGCAAGAATGACCTGAAAAGTTAAAAGATGAAGATGTACAAAGTGTTTCTTGTACTTTGACTTACCCAGCCTCAATCTTTTTTAGGGGGCTAAACATCTTATTATGAAAGATAAGAGAGGGAAAAGAGATCATCCTGAGAGAGGTGCAAAACCGGACGCTCTTACACACATCTGCTGTGTGACGGTACGTGTGTCAGTACGGGTCAAGTAAAGGGCAGACAAAAGGTTTCTCAGTATGACTGATGGGGTGATCTGGGAAAACCGTAAGGGGAACTGCTTCGGAAAGCATGCACGCCCTAGGACTTGCAGCGGAAAAATAAATAGGTATGGATTAGTACGTCAAATGTTGTATCTGCCTTGAACTGGCCAGTTACGTACATTCAACTTTAATGTACACCCTTCATTATTTCAAATAGCCTATACCGTGGAGGTTTTAACGGAAGAAGCTACTGCCAAACTTAACGAGCTGTAGCTGCGGTAGAAAGGGAAAGCGCGAAACAGGCATTATATCTGCAATTCCTTCAAAATAGTGGTGCAGTACCTAAATAAAATCGGTTTGGAATTCAAGTAAGTAAAACTACGTTTGTTAGTAGTAATTTTTAACAGCCCCAAATGGTACCGTTATGCTTATTTTAATGAGACAGAACTGTCCTTTTATCACAAATATTGACTACTACAGCTGAAACGTTAGGTAATAACCGAAAATATATGCTCTACTTGTGGGGCGAAAGTGTCTTTGCCCTACCTCAGTCTCAATGAGTTCAACAGGATTACTTGTCTTATAGAGGTAAGCGAGATTTAGACCTTGAAGGAATAACAAAAATAATATTTTAGAGACAGGGAACTTGAATTATCACAATATTTACCACACAGTGTCACAATATTTCTATATATAAAAAGTTAATCTTCGTTTTCATCAAATACTTTAAAAATCAAGTTAAAATTGTATTCACAACTATATAATCCCTCTGACAGCTTTTGGTTTTGCTGATATTTGTTTTTTCTAACCGTTTTCTTAAAACCTTGCTCCTCTTCCCATCGATTTTAGTTGTAGTGTACAGTATGGCCCCCGTTCACAGAAGGTATCAAATACAGACACCTTATTAAGAGGAGCTCATTTTTTTTTTCCAAGACATCATCTGGGAGAAAACCAAACCAAAACAACCCTGTGTTTTGAATCGTGCTGGCCAGAGTCTCTCTAACAGCACCTTCATCCACAACGCTAACGCTCAATGTTTCAATGCTTAAAAACACGCAATTGCATTTACCCTAGCTCTTCGCTGTTCTCCATTTTCATCTTGTTTTATGCATCTGACTTTCAGCATGCATGGCTTTGTAAACAAAATCTTCTGTCTAAACAAAATATCTTCACAGATACCGAAATATTATTAGAGGAGAACAATAAAGTCACATTTGTCCACTGTCTGAAATCCTGCAGTACGTGGATCTCTTGTTATGCAGCTGCACGACTGGATGAAGAGAATACAAACGTGAATCATTTTCATTTTTATATCACAGACAAATCAGTTGCTGGTTCGCAATGCTGTCAGAAATGGCAAACAGTAGATTATTCTTCAGCAGGTTGATCATTAGCAAAATTACTTTGCTATAAATGGTGCTCGTTTGTGAATGGAGGCCTGTAGATTCAACTTATTCCAATAAACCAAAGGCATTACGGTGATAACTAAATATTTTTGGTCTCTCTACAAATTGTCATTATGGCAGCACTTTTCTAAGCTGGAATTTCAAACCAAAGGCACTTTCATGCTAGAGTGCAGAAGAGTCACAATTAATTATTTGGTCATGAAATTTAAAAAGGCAGCATTTATTAATACAATTCACTTTTCACGGAGAACTAAGAATCTGTAACCTTTCCTTTTGGTATAGACATTTAACCGCATAGCAATGGGACTGACTTGTACAGAAGGTTGGTTTAGACCAAGCAGTCAAAAAAGCGTTTCTGTGGGAAAAAATACAGATTTTTTTTTTTTTTAAATATGGAACCAATTAATAAAACAATATATAAAATTTATGTTAAGAGGCTAAAGGTACTTCTAATATAATGCTAAGGCACTGCATATTGTAATGCTTTGGCAGCTCTCAATTAAAAGGTTCCTACGAAAAAGTAACAGTAACAAGAGAAGTACTTCCAGCTTACAAAAGAGCTCACAGTTTACAGGCAGCCTGTTGGACTACACGCCCCACACTGAACAGTTGAAGGATTAAGGCTTTTTAGAATTAACATATACAGGGTATGGATCATTTACAGAAGTGTAAAGAAAAGACGATGGAAGTAGGTTCCCTAATATTACATATGTGAACACCAATAAACATCGTGACTTTTTATACCCTACCTGGCATATGTAGTGTGCCGGATTCTATTAAAAAAACTGTACCTGGTTTTGCAAATTGACTTACATACTTTATATGCCTCAAAGAGTTTGCTTGTTATTAAAACAAAAATAAAATCACCAAAAACCACAATTCAAACCCTAGATAAAAGACAACTTTAGAACAAAATAAAACAAAAAAAGTAGTTTTTGACTTGTAACACCAAGTGCTTAGAATAAAGGGCTACCGTTAGGCTGTTACAATGCAGTGCTTTTCCTGATGTGATTGTTAGTGTTAAAAAAGAGTGTTAAAAGAGACCTTGCCATGGACATATTTCTCTGTTCAGTTCGCGGACTATAAACTGAAAGATCATCAGCCCTAACATCCACAAGCAGGTAACAGCTAGACATCACAGCAATCGCCCACCTACTAGAGTTAGATCAGAGGTGGGCTAAGGAATTTGAGCAGTTGCCCTTCCCCTCGGGTGATGTTTGCCTTATCCTCTAACCTGAGTTCTCACCAGCGTTGAGTATGAGCATGGTCTGACGCAGGTGTTCAGCAACCTGCTACCTCATCTAGGCTGTAGTCTAATCTAGGGCAGCGATGGGCAATTCTAACAGAGGGTACTATGCAGAAATATAAAAAAAAAAACCAAAAAACTGGCTTTTTTGAAAACTACAGCACTGTGCCTGGGCGTAAATTCTAGACTTCAGTTGTGCATGGGCACATATCGGTAAAGGGCAGGGAGGAGGGACCTGCTAAATGTTGACATCTTTGATTCAGGACTGCAAAAGGCCTTCCCAAGAACTCTCCTTGCCGATACCTCACGACTGAGCTTTAAGGTGGCTTGTGCTTGGCCGGGCAGCCCTCAGCCTTTCAGACAAATGTTTTGTGTGAGAGCCCGCTGCTGGCCCAGCACCTGCTGAAACAACTGCGGCTGGGGCAACTGGGGGCAGTGCTGGCGGCACAGCGGGAGGGAAGAAGCCGAGCAACACTCTCTGGTGGAGCCAGGAGGAAGGAGACTACGTCTCGTACGTGTGCGTACCTCAGACACTCACTCACACCCACATCCATGGTTTGAATCCTTACAGTATTAAAATATCTCCAGCTGTACTTCACTTCCTGGAGTCTTCCCTGAATATATCAGAAGGATGAATGCTACCATAGCCGGATGCAAAAGGACATCAGACCACACGTGGTACGAACGTGTTTGTTTCCAATAAGGTCTTTGCCAGTCGGAACTGGAGAGACAACTGGGAGAGCTGTAAGAGCACCATGATAAAGCGGAAAAGGAGAAAACAAACATCTCCGCTTTCAATTGTCTTTGCCTGATGTTGGTTGTGATTTTCTAGCATCTCATAGATGTTAAAGCTGTTGATCCTTTCAGAGGTGTACGTACTCTGTCAAACACGTTAGTGTTTTGCTTTCAGTTTACGCATTACTCAATGCTGTCGCAATGTCAGTTTCCGTTCCTCTGTTAAGTTCGGAGTTGCAAGTTTTTCACTCAACTTATTAGAAAACATAGTTGTCCATATAAAATAGAACTGCACACACAAGACTACATATAATGTGAGTCTAAATCTTCAGTATTTACCTACTTATTGCAAAATGAGCCATCTTTTTCATTAAATAATCAAATTTTCATATTAGTACAATACAACTTTATACTCTTTTAAAATACACTAGATATGTTAGGGGTAAGGGATGATGTTTGCTTTCTCTGCAATACCTGTTTGAAAGTTTAATGGATTAGAAGATTAGTTTTAGCGTTGAGAAAAAAATACAAAATTTGCCTAATTTTAGGACCTGTCTGTTTCTATCAGGCATTTCTTAAGGCTACATTTTTCATTTGGTTTCAAACAGAAAAACGTTTCATTTTAAAAAATAATTTAGTGAATTACATTCGTCCATATCTTCCACCCTAATTAGTTACAAAGATAATTCTATAAAGATTATTAACTTTGTGTACTCATTTACAGTTATAGCTAAAGATTCATTTCAATTTCACTTGCATTGTAAAACAAGTTTTTCATGTTGGAAAAAAAACCCAAAATAAATTCTTATAAATGCTGTCAGTTTTTCCCCATGGCAAATGCTCTGTCATACATTTTTCTATCAGAATTAAAAATAGGCCTCCACAGACAGAGGCGTTAGGTTCTTAAATACAGTCTTCCCAAAGAACTGTGGTTTACAAATTTGAAGAACACTTAGTTTTAGAAATAATTTTTACAACTGTACCAGAATTTCACAGCTACAATTATATATGAACACATTAAAAATGACTTCACTAAAACAGGATTTAGAAAAATGTGGGTGAAAGTTGGGCCAGAGGCACTGCCACTTAGTGTTGAGGTTTACAGTCTGTGTTTTTGATAAAGAAGTGAAATGAAGTGTATATATAAATAACTGCTCAGTCCTTTACAAGCCTGTAGATATGATGCTGTGCTCCATGTTCGCTGTTTGACACTTCAAATACACAAGCCATGCAGAGCAGGGTTTCTTGTGTATCCCTGTTTGTTACAACCTGTTTGAGGGGAAGGAAGAGGTAGACAGCGTATTAGACTCGGAAACACCAGGGCCAAAACAAGAAATGACTGGCTTGATTGAAGACAATCTTTAGCTGTGACTCTTTGAACGTGTGTCCTCTCGCTCGCTCTCTGGCAATTTAAACAGGCCCCTGTGGCCACACTTGCTCCCGTAGCAGGCTCTGGGGCTGAGCTGCAGGGCTGTAGCTCGCAGCCGAGGGCACTGAGATCCATCCCAGCCTGGCTGCTTGGCCATGAGCCGCCATCATAGTGGTTGTGGCTCAGCTTTCCTCAACCTGCACCCCCCCTTCAGCACAGGGCAACCATCGCCCTGGTGTTCCCTTGCCAGAAGACAGCTGAGCAGGGTGCATGGGGCTCTGCGCTCATAGCCCTCCCTCTTCCCCATGCTGCCAGCCCTTGGTCCTGCCCAAATCCTATGGCGGCAGCAGCAGCGCATGGCGCCGAGTTCTTGGCTGAGGGGCCACCGCAAAGCCACAGTGAAAGCAAGCTGGGTAACTGGATGAAACTGGCTTAAAGGCCGCTGTGTGGACCATTCTTTGTGCTGTAGATCACCTGTTGGGTGTAGCCATTACTGCGTGCTTTCCTGGCCCAAGAACTAATTAAAACACCACTGACATTTGCAGTATTGTAACTGGCAGCTCCATAAGAACACATTAGATGAATGGGATGGTTCAAAGTTACTGCCTCAGGCTCACTACAAACACCAAACAGAGACTTGCATGAAAAAAAGAGAGAGGTAAGCTGAATTTTTGGGAAGTAACAAAAAGATGTGTGTTCACGTTCCCAGCCAGCTTAGCCTTTTTATCCTTGGTGTCTACAGCGCACAATTCCAAGAGTATTACTCTGAAGTCAATGGGATGATGTGTTTAGTAAGCAACATGATTACTAAGGGATTCGGAAACTGGTTCTAAACATTACAAGTTAAGCAAGCCATATAAAGCCTGAGAGTATTTTGGAAACAGAAAAATAAAAATTGAGTCCATACCAATAAAATTGTAAAATTTTCCAACACGCTGTTCATCATGTATTTCTCTGGTAAATGCTTCAACTTGTGTATGAAGTTGATCATATATTCACACATTGGAGAGCGATTTATTCTGTACACAAATCGGCCGTTCTCAAACCTTGCATATTCAGTCTAAAAAAAAAAAAAAAAGAGGGAGCATTTAGAATAAGCTAATTCAGAAATAGCAAAAAAGTGACAACAAGTGAATATTAAATCTGTTTTTTTCTTTCTTTGTGTAGACAGAAAAAAGAGACCGTGGCTCTCAGACACCCACCACCACCACCACTAACTCCCTGCCTGAGCTATGCAGTGCTTTGCTAAAAATTCAAGGGCACTTAATTGTTAGAAGTTATAATATTACTACTTGCTCTCTAACCTGTGAAGTAAAAAAACTGAACAGCTGAGGATTACACAAAGGTAAGTCCAAGTCAAGTAAAAATTAATTAATCATCAGAAAACTTTGTGGTAAGATGCTTTTACAGTAGTTTCGAGGCAATTGTCTATGAAGGGAACAGCAAAAATAAGCTTATATATTTATGCCTAAATATATGCATATAAACAAAGCTGCATTATTGCATGGTTTAATAGGCAATTTAGGAATTACAGACAGATGCAAGCCTACAGTTGGAAGAAAACAAGCCTGATTTAGATTGCAGGGGCTCACAAGGGGCTGAAGGAGGGTAAGGCTGTGACTCCTGGCCTCCTGCTGCCCAGCTCCCAATTGCTCAGCTGAGCTTCTCAGTGGCTTGTGGGTTTATCTGGCTTTCTCTAAGCTTGGAATAATGGAAATGATGGAAAACTTTTTTATGGTCACCATGCGCAGGAAATACGTTTAGTATTAGGATGATGTGAACAGTGACCAGGACATCTATAAAGGCTCAACCTGCAGCTCTAGGCTAAAATTCCTGCACAAAAACTGAACCGCAGACAACAGATGTGGGTGTGGGGCTTAGTACACAGAAGACCAGTTAAATAGCTGCAGTACCATGGCACAACAAACCACCTAGCTACCTGATACAGTTCCTAGCTATGCGACACAGCCCCGGGCTTAGAAAAGAAAAGGTAAAAAAATAAACAAGCCCCTTGCATGTTAAGAAAATACCCAACTTTGTATTCAAAAGCTGCTGGTGACTGAGGAGGGCAGGCCTTTCTGTGCATAAAATAAGATACAATAAGCATGGGTACAGACATAGTGCACCACCCATGGCTTTAAAATACTTAAAAAAAAATAATCTAGAAGATAGAGGGCAGCTCGTCGCTGTAGTATGGTTCCAAACAGGCTACGTGCCTGGCCGAGTGTTTGGAAATGGGAGCTTTTTTTTTTGCTTCAGCTCTTTGATGTCAGCTGCAGGTTCCCCACCCAAGGGTGCCACAGGCAGGGTGGGGGAGGGTCTCCAAAGCAACAGGTAACGAGGATTTCACTTTAGTGTCACCACTCACACAGTGATTTAAAATTAACCTAAACACTGCTGGGAAGGAAAATACTCTTTCAGGAAGGATTACAGGAAGGAAGAAAAAGACAGACAAGAGCAAAGTAAAGACAGGAGAGAGACAAGGCTAATTAAAATGAAAGGGAACCAGAGACTCATCCCACACAGCCCATCACGACACCCACCTCTACTTTTTCTACTACTTGCTTTCCAAATGAGCAGACTTTGGTGGAACAGGTGATTGTCATGTTTTCTGAGCTCTCGTACTGACTAGTGACTCCGTAAAACGCTCCTGTATCATCTTGAATGTTGCAGTTTAAGTCAGCCTGTTGGGAAAAAGTAATAGATGTTGAAGATTTTTATTTTTCATTTGACAATGTCAGTAGCATGGGCTGTAATTAGCTCACCATTCCTTTCAGAAGTAAGGGAGAGGAGGGGGGAGTTTTATAGTGACAACAGCGACAGTGGAAAAAGTCTGTCAGGAAAGTACCTGCCTAATTGTTGCAGTAAAAACCTTAGGGAAGTGGCAATTTCTTCAAACTTTAAACAACAAAAGACAACCCAGTATTACTCTGGGATACAGCTGATGTTCTTGTCTGGCAGATAGCAGATGAAGTCTCAGGAGCACAGGGAATGATCACCTGCGAGGAGCCTGGCTCCGGAGCTGGCTCCTCTGGAGGGAACGTGCCCGGTGGCCTTGAATTCAGCCGAGCCATCCCACTCCTGAAGGGCCATAGTTCCACTTTCTCCTTTGCCTTTCTAAAAGCAATGAAATCTTCATGGCACAGGCAGACAGCTGCGCAACACTGGAATCGATCTCTGATAAGGCTCCGTCAAGCCATATGGCCCTGATTCAGCAAAATACTTGACTTCACGGGAGCTGTGTGACGCAACGCGCAGGCTTCACATCAGCTGTGCGCACACTGAGCCATGCCTGCCGCACCAATAAAATATTGCTGGACGCATTTGATTTCTTTCAGTATTTCTCTGCAGGCTGAGTAACTATCCAGCTGGTGTTGATATCTAGCAACAGAGATCGAGACTTGCAGGATCAAGTGAGGAACAGTGCTACCTTTAATTATTTATATCCAAATCCAAGTCCTGTGCACAGCATGATTAATTTGGCTACAAAGCAATGGCACAGGTCACATGCTGAACCCAGCCTCCCCGGGCCTGCAGCAGCACTGAAGCTGTTCTGCCACTGTGCTCTTTGTCATCATCAATCCATTTTCAAAAGCCCTCAACTTAAAAGAGCACTAATATGGGTATAGGCAGAGTCTAGGGATATCCACAGCTGGATTTGTTGATTCAGGCATTAGCTCTCTTGACACCTTTGGTGCCCAAGGAGCGAGTGGGCAGGGCTTTTTTTTTTTAATGTGGAAATAGCTGATCAGCTACTGCAGCGCAACATCTAAGAATCGCCTGAATTTTTTAACTCACTCCGAGACAAACATTTTAGCAGGGAAATGCACTTCCACAGCTCTTTCGCTTGCAAGTCTAGCTCTGCTTGTTTTTATTGCTTATATAGAAATGTAACAAAAAAATTTTGACAGATACTTTCACGTCTACCTTGAGAGTTTTTAAAAACCCAGTTTACAGGTATGTCTATTTACTAGTTCATGTGAAACATTTATAATCCTGCCTTTACTACAGTTCAGGCCATTTGTAACTGCTATTTAATTTTTAACTAGGCAACAACTCATTAATTCTACTTAGTGTCTACAGTCCTTATTTGTGGTACAACATTCTGAGGCAATACGCTGATAATAGCACATACTGAGCTAGTTTGTGGTGCGGAGAAGACATAGGTCTAAGATCACTTCAGGCTGGCTTTGGTAAATTAATCAGTGGAGAAGTCTCCTGAGGTTTCCACACAGTAACACAAACAGCCCTATAGTCGTGTATTTTGCATAACAGAAAGAAATCCTATCGCTACTACACCTTGTTTCTTGCACATGCTTTGCATGAGGTCAGCAGTTAATGTTTAATGTACATCTAAAGCAGTGCGTTCACAGTGAGCTGTAAGAAATCGTTCTAAGCTAAGCGTACATAAGCAATTTGCCATCACAGCTGGCTTGCAATCGAAACAGGGCAAACATCTAAACATGACAAACTGCTGCAGCCACCAGCCATGCCACAGCTGCCCCACCTGCATTTCTGAAGAACAGGGATTTCTGATACAACAATTGCATTGTTATAAGTAACACCAAGTAGTAGTGGTAATCTCTTAAAAAGGGGTTATTCTTGCTGCTACCGCAATTAAAATTTTACTACCAAAATATTTTCTTTTATTTCCTTTCAGATATGGACAAAATATTTAAGAAATCATAACTAAAATGCTCCTGACAATTTCATGTTGTCAAAAGGGTCGACCGCACAGACCTTACATTCCAAGGTACAGTAATAACTGTTTATAGGGTTATAAATAAGAATAACTTTTTATCTGCTGCCTTCTGATTTTGAAGCCCACTGAAAGAAAGTGCTAATTGTTGTATTTACATGCTGACATTTAACCTGGACAAGTAACACATGTGGCCATCTGGCACCCTGCTGATCACTCCCACAGCTCTTCCAACTCTCACTGAAATCACCAGGAGTCCTGTGTACACAAAAAATACAGGCTGGGGCCCTGATGTTTGAATGAGGAATGCTTGAAATTATCACTCAAATGTCACGATTTACTCTTACGCCGTCACAACATTGTTGCAAAAGTCCTATGATGGTAATGCAGACATGCATGAGCTTTATTTGCTATTTGATTTTTTTGAGTCTAGCACATAATGAAGCTGTTTTCAAGGAAAGACAATTTTCCTTTTAAACCACAGTTTTCATGTTCAACTAATTACAAACTGCTGAGAGCTGAAGCTTTAAGACTCCTCTGAAAAGTGTAACAACACCAACATAAAAATCGTAAGAGTTGGCAATGGCAAATACTCTTAAAATTAAGGGTTCACCAAAGCCTCTTTTAATACTGAAAGAATTTTGTCTATTCTCACATACTATAACAAATCTTGCCTCTCAGTCTGGGTTCAAATTTTTTCACTAGAGGCCGAGTACATGAGCAGCAGGAAGGAGCAAGTAGCATTGCAAAGAGGGGATTGCTACGCCAAGGAGCCAGGTGTTGAAAGCTTCGTTGACAGCTGAACACCTTCAGGAAGGAAGGAAAGGCTCTCACTTCTGGTAAAATACAGAACTTTGGTTACAAAATGATGGTGAAAGACTTGCTGATTATATTGTTATGGCTTACATAGGAAGGGGCTCGTCTAATACACCTGAAAGCAAAATTGTATTTCTTGAACCGACAAAAGTGGGTCACAATTAAAATTCAGGGGATTCCCCCCACCCCCAAAGATTACAAGAGTATCAAATAAAAAAAAAAAAAAGTTTTGCTAAAAATGGGCACTGCTGGGGCTAGGAGAGTTGTAGGTGTAGCTTTGAGCAGGACCAAGGTGATGTGTTAACCCTGGTATTCAGTTTTAGTAGGCTCCTTACTACAATATTGATTCCAGTTTTTGTGTCTACATCTTAGAAAGAATGTTGGAAAATTGGAAAGTGTTCAGAAAAAAGTTACAAGAATGATTTCAGGTCTGGAAAACATCCTTTGTAGTGAATGACTAATGAAACTCCATCTACTTACTTTTTCCAAGGAAAGTTTTTCCACGACTTTGTCATAGCCTACAAGTTGCTACATGGGGAAGAGTCTTCTGATAGATTAAATCTTGCAGAAAAGGACATTAAAAGAGAGAAAGCTAAAGCAAAGCAAAAGCTAAATGAGAAACAAGGCAGAGGCTGGTAACCCTGATGGCAATGAAATGCTGGCATAATTTTCAAATGTGGTGGAATGACCATTACTTGGTGGTTTTTTTTTTTTTAACCGAGCTAAATATCTATCTAACAGGGATGCTCTAGGTCAAGTAGGCTTATTGTCCGGAGGCAGACATTACTTAGTGAGGTTCGCTGCCTATATTGCAGAAGAGACAAGACTAGATTAATATAATAATAGCAAAATTAAAATATTGGAATTTATCTTATTAACCTCAATTAACCCTCTCCTTGTAATTTCCTTTTTCAATGATCCCTGTGAAAAATGTGACAACAGTCAAGCTTCTGGAGTGCTGTGCTTGCAGCCTCATGCTGCAACCACCTTTGCCTCATTATTTCCTTGGTGCTCTGTCTCTAGCTGCGCCCTTGCATTTCAGACTCAGCTTGCAGGCCTTCCTGGGCCATAAACCAGCTTTCCCTTCTGTACAGCTTCTCATGCAACTGCGATCTGACCCACGGCTCCAGAAATTAGGGCTGGTGAGAGCTAGCATAGCATATACAGATAAATAACCTTTTGAATGGCTATTTCAAATATATTGGCATACATTCAAATATTAAGATATGATCACATGTGGCAAACAGGAGTCCATGGACTCATTGAATTTTAACATACAAGATCAACACAATTTAGGAAAAAAACAAATGGATTTTTTTTTTAACTTTCAAGACTAAAACTCTAGTTTTGATTTATTTCTAAGAGCTGAGATTTATATTAACTGAACTCATTTGGAGGTGGGAGAGGCACTCAGCTTTCTGGCACCCTATCTACAGTGGTTGTGTAAGAGCATGATTAATTCATTAATAAAGCATAGCTTGACAACGGGTAGCACCAAAAATATTACATGTTAAGAGCTCCAAGTGTTTGGCATGCTGCATGGAGAAGCCTCTGCCAGTGCACCAGAGCAAGCACCAAACCAGAGCTAGCTGCAACCAAAATAAAGAGTATAAATAAGTAAGTAAATAAATAAATACAAATCTTCACGTTCCCTTCAGAAGAGCTCTCAGGCTCTGTGTTAAAGGCGGGGGCAGAGGGTAGAGCGCTTGTGTAATAATAACAGCCGTGGCTAACAATGAGTAGAAAGAAAACAGCACCTACTGGAAACAGTGGGATCTGGGGAGGGCCAGAACAATTTATACTGGCATTCAGTAGTTAACATTAAGCACATAAGGTCACTTATTAACAACATATAGGGTTTAACAACTGCTGACTGCAGGGAGGTGTGCTACTCATATGACTGCATCATGCCTCCCCTCCTCCTCTCCAAAGGGTGATCAAAGAGCAGAGATTACAAATTGTAAAGCAATTTTTTCCAACGGGAGCATCTGGGTCGTTGGCACGTTTCACCACGCGTTACACTGCAGCTCAGGAATTGCATCCAGGTCTGCCACATGGTTGGGCTTGTGATGGACAGGCCAAGCTGCTCCGGCTTCCCAGCTGCTCAGCCCCTTCCACTCATTATCCAGCCTCGAGCACTAATGCTCTTGCATCAGTTTGCGAAGGGGT